TCTGGACCAGACAATACAGTGATTGACATCATGAGCATCGATCCACGCAATTGGGATACGACATGCATCAACCAAGTCAACGAGCCTGACCACCCGATCCCGTTAGTCGCCTCTTAAGACAAGCATAGTCGCCTTTCACGGCAAGCATGGGTTGCTGAAGACCTATTCTATCCCGGATCTTCCTGTTGATGGGTAGAATTTAATCTATAAATAAATTCTGATATATTTCTTTACTGTTCTTGACTCGAGTCTCTGGTTTTCTCAAATATCCAAATCCATATTTTTAAAGATGAGACTTTATCTTTGACTTTATCAGTTGTTTTTTTCCATTATTACATGCCTGATATATCTTTTCATAACTTTTTATGGATACTGTGAATCTGAATTTGTTATTACTTCACGCCAATATTTGATACAACGTTTAAACGCTAATATATAATATAGATATCTACAACATTCTCCAAGTGCGACATGATTCGGCGTGAGAATTTGATTGCTAGGGATCTTCTACATCAAGTATGTGTTCAGCTTCTATTTCTTTAATTTCATCCATACCCAATTTGTTTTGGAAAATAGTGTATAAGGAAGAGGTTTATATCTTAAAGTGATTTCAAGATGGAAAACAGATGGGATGTTACACTATAACAGTTTTGACCAAGATAAATTATTTGCAAAACATGCACCAAAATAGATATATGATGACACCCATTCATTTAGATGAGGACAACACTTTATTAAAGACAACTTTCGTCTTTTCTAGGTTTACTGAATGTGGCGAGTATTTACATTTCAGCTCTGCATGCAATGTGGTGAGCGTCGACATTTCGGGCCTGCATGCAATGTGGTGAGTGTCTACATTTCGGGCCTGCATACAATGTGGCGAGTGTCTACATTTCGGCACTGCATGCAATGTGGCGAGTGTCTACATTTCGGCACTGCATACAATGTGGCGAGTGTCTACAGTTCGGCACTACATGCAATGTGGTGAGTGTCTACATTTCGGCACTGCATGCAATGTGGCGTGTGTCTAAATTTCGGCACTACATGCAATGTGGCGAGTGTCTACATTTCGGCACTTCATGCAATGTTGTGAGTGTCTAGATTTCGGCCCTGCATGCAATGTGGCGAGTGGCGACATTTCGGCTCTGCATGCAATGTGGTGAGTGTCATTTCGGCCCTGCATGCAATGTGGTGAGTGTCTACATTTCGGCACTGCATGCAATGTGGCGAGTGTCTACATTTCGGCACTGCATGCAATGTTGCGAGTGTTTACATTTCGGCCCTGCATACAATGTGGTGAGTGTCTAAAATTACGGCTCTGCATGCAATGTCTTGAGTGCAGCCATTTCTTTCCTGCATGCAATGTGGTGAGTGTCTACATTTCGGCTCTGCATGCAATGTCTTGAGTGTCGACATTTCGGCACTGCATGCAATGTGGTGAGTGTCTAGATTTCGGCACTGCATGCAATGTGGCGAGTGTCTACATTTCGGCACTGCATGCAATGTGGTGAGTGTCTACATTTCGGCTCTGCATGCAATGTGGCGAGTGTCTACATTTCGGCTCTGCATGCAATATGGCGTGTGTCTACATTTCTTTCCTGCATACAATGTGGTGAGTGTCTAAAATTACGGCTCTGCATGCAATGTCTTGAGTGCAGCCATTTCTTTCCAGCATGCAATGTGGTGAGTGTCTACATTTCGGCTCTGCATGCAATGTCTTGAGTGTCGACATTTCGGCTCTGCATGCAATGTGGTGAGTGTCTACATTTCGGCACTGCATGCAATGTGGTGAGTGTCTAAAATTACGGCTCTGCATGCAATGTCTTGAGTGCAGCCATTTCTTTCCTGCATGCAATGTGGTGAGCGTCTACATTTCGGCACTGCATGCAATGTCTTGAGTGTCGACATTTCGGCCCTGCATGCAATGTGGTAAGTGTCTACATTTCGGCACTGCATCCAATGTGGGGAGTGTCTACATTTCGGCTCTGCGTGCAATGTGGTGAGTGTCGACATTTCGACTCTGCATGCAATGTGGTGAGTGTCTAGATTTCGGCACTGCATGCAATGTGGTGAGTGTCTACATTCGGCTCTGCATGCAATGTTGTGAGTGTCGACATTTCGGCCCTGCATGCAATGTGGCGAGTGGCGACATTTCGGCACTGCATCCAATGTGGTGAGTGTCTACATTTCGGCACTGCATGCAATGTGGTGAGTGTCATTTCGGCCCTGCATGCAATGTGGCGAGTGGCGACATTTCGGCACTGCATGCAATGCGGTGAGTGTCTACATTTCGGCCCTGCATACAATGTGGCGAGTGTCTACATTTCGTCACTGCATGCAATGTGGCGAGTGTCTACATTTCGGCAGTGCATACAATGTGGTGAGTGTCTAAAATTACGGCTCTGCATGCAATGTCTTGAGTGCAACCATTTCTTTCCTGCATGCAATGTGGTGAGTGTCTACATTTCGGCACTGCATGCAACGTCTTGAGTGTCGACATTTCGGCCCTGCATGCAATGTGGTAAGTGTCTACATTTCGGCACTGCATCCAATGTGGTGAGCGTCTACATTTCGGCTCTGCGTGCAATGTGGTGAGTGTCTACATTTCGGCTCTGCATGCAATGTGGTGAATGTCTAGATTTCGGCACTGCATGCAATGTGGTGAGTGTCTACATTTCGGCCCTGCATGCAATGTGGTGAGTGTCGACATTTCGGCCCTGCATGCAATGTGGCGAGTGGCGACATTTCGGCACTGCATGCAATGTCTTGAGTGTCGACATTTCGGCCCTGCATGCAATGTGGTAAGTGTCTACATTTCGGCACTGCATCCAATGTGGTGAGTGTCTACATTTCGGCTCTGCGTGCAATGTGGTGAGTGTCTACATTTCGGCTCTGCATGCAATGTGGTGAGTGTCTAGATTTCGGCACTGCATGCAATGTGGTGAGTGTCTACATTTCGGCCCTGCATGCAATGTGGTGAGTGTCGACATTTCGGCCCGGCATGCAATGTGGCGAGTGGCGACATTTCGGCACTGCATGCAATGTCTTGAGTGTCGACATTTCGGCCCTGCATGCAATGTGGTAAGTGTCTACATTTCGGCACTGCATCCAATGTGGTGAGTGTCTACATTTCGGCTCTGCGTGCAATGTGGTGAGTGTCTACATTTCGGCTCTGCATGCAATGTGGTGAGTGTCTACATTTCGGCGCTGCATGCAATTTGGTGAGTCGCGACATTTCGGCACTGCATACAATGTGGTGAGTGTCTACATTTCGGCCCTGCATGCAATGTGGCGAGTGACGACATTTCGGCACTGCATGCAATGTGGTGAGTGTCATTTCGGCCCTGCATGCAATGTGGTGAGTGTCTACATTTCTTTCCTGCATGCAATGTGGTGAGTGTCTACATTTCGGCCCTGCATACAATGTGGCGAGTGTCTACATTTCGGCACTGCATGCAATGTGGTGAGTGTCTACATTTCGGCTGTGCATGCAATGTGGCGAGTGTCTACATTTCGGCTCTGCATGCAATGTGGCGAGTGTCTACATTTCGGCCCTGCATACAATGTGGCGAGTGTCTAAAATTACGGCTCTGCATGCAATGTCTTGAGTGCAGCCATTTCTTTCCTGCATGCAATGTGGTGAGTGTCTACATTTCGGCTCTGCATGCAATGTCTTGAGTGTCTACATTTCGGAACTGCATGCAATGTGGCGAGTGTCTACATTTCGGCAGTGCATACAATGTGGTGAGTGTCTAAAATTACGGCTCTGCATGCAATGTCTTGAGTGCAGCCATTTCTTTCCTGCATGCAATGTGGTGAGTGTCTACATTTCGGCTCTGCATGCAATGTCTTGAGTGTCGACATTTCGGCCCTGCATGCAATGTGGCGAGTGGCGACATTTCGGCTCTGCATGCAATGTGGTGAGTGTCTACATTTCGGCACTGCATGCAATGTGATGTGGTGAGTGTCATTTCGGCCCTGCATGCAATGTGGCGAGTGGCGACATTTCGGCACTGCATGCAATGTGGTGAGTGTCTACATTTCGGCTATGCATGCAATGTGGTGAGTGTCTACATTTCGGCTATGCATGCAATGTGGTGAGTGTCATTTCTTTCCTGCATGCAATGTGGTGAGTGTCTAGATTTCGGCACTGCATGCAATGTGGTGAGTGTCTACATTTCGGCACTGCATGTATACAACAGGATGAAACCTTCCAAATATAAGATAAGCATTATTTACTTTCCGGTTGTCAGAAATGATCTAGGGCCTATTTTAATTAGTAGATGACGGACTGACAAGGTTAAAACCTTTTATAGAAAACTACTTCTTTATTTTGCTGTAATAGCCACGTTTCGGTACAGACCCTTAAATGTCGCTGTTGCACAACATAAAGACGTCCTTATCCACAAAATATGTCAACTTTGTAAGAAAAATATCGCCATAATCAGTCACGTGGTAAACCAACAAAAGGTATAAAGGGGGATCATTTCGATATCCTTGCATCCCGCACTTCTCCCGCAACTGTGTCTGATCTGATCTGTAGCGAAATTGTAAGTACAGTTTTAACATGTTCAACCATTAGTATATCTTCGTAAACCATTAGTAAATCTTAGTACAGCATTAGCAAATCTTAGTAAAGCATTAGTCAGTCTTGCATTTTTTTACGCTAACCATACGCACTGACAGTGTTGTCAGTTGAACAGGACATGCTTAGCCGAACACGTGCTGCCCTCACTGTTAGTAGGCGATGATTAGAGAGCGAATGAGTGAGTTAGGTTTAACGCGTGTCTTGGTGTGGGAGGAAAGTGATGCAGCTCTCAGATGTTTAGCATTTGGTGAAACTGAAGAGCACGGGTATGGTGCTGACAAAAACCTAGAAACATAATCGGGGCGAACTGGTATTCGAAACCACAATCATAGGTTTATGTTATGCCCACGGGACTTCGCTCAGTACAGCGAATTGCGAATTATCCATAAGCCAATCTTGTCTGTATTGACAGTAGGCATCCTCCGTGGTCTAGTGGATGGAGCGTCCGGTGGGAGATCGGAAGGTCGGTAGTTCGATCCCTTGAGCGGGTCTTACCCAAGAAAGATGGTACTTGTTAAAAGATGGTAGTTGTAGTTAACCTGCCTGGCCCTCGACATTCAGGGGAAAAAATGACTGGTCAACTCGGAGTCAGTATACTGTGACTGAGTTGGGTAATCAATCTGAAAATGCAGCATGGTATCTCAGTGGGCTAGAACTATGACACCAGCATTAGTCCGGATTATCACAAGCACACCACACCCTTCCACACACGCACACGTGCATGCACATCGCTTTATAAGTGCAATAAGCTTGAACGCGACACCTCACTGAGGCTGACTTATATCATTATGGATTTCAATTTCTTTAATTAGTCTTCCCATGCAAAGTAACGAAATGTCGCATAGCAAAAAAAAGAAGTCAATGCAATGATTCCAGATTGTCGATATCTATGAATTTGTCAGGTCCTTGTTTTGGAACTCGTGTCTGAGAGATGCGAGTACGGGGATACTTCAAATAGTGGTGTCTGTTATAAGGGGCGGTGGGGTTGTCTTGTGGTTAAAGCGTACGCTCGTCACGCCGAAGGCCTTGGTTCGATTCCCCACATGGGTACAATATGTGAAGTGAGTGAGTGAGTGAGTATGATTTTACGCCGTTTTGAGCAATATTCCAGCAATATCACGGCGGGGGACACCAGAAATGGGCTTCACACATTGTACCCATGTCGGGAATCGAACCCGGGTCTTCGGCGTGACAAGCGAACGCTTTAACCACTAGGCTACCCGACCGCCCCAATATGTGAAGCCTATTTCTGGTGTCCAGCGCCTTGATATTTCTGGAATATTTCTAAAAGCGGCGAAAAACCATACTCACTTCCTGCTATAAACTAGCATGCAGGATGAAGGAATCTAATTATACGTGATTAAATGTAAACGATGTCTTAAATATAAGTCATTCATGTTGTTTGTCACTTGTTTGTCAATTAAATCATGGCAATGAGAGGTAGTGAGGGTTTGATGGCAAGTCTTAACAAGATTTTATCAGCACATGAATAACATTGAAGAGTCTTTCTTACTTCACAGCTATTTGAACAGCAGACATGAAGTTCGCCGTATTTCTCCTTGTCTTGGCATGTGTTTGCGCTGTCGCCCTAAGCGCTCCTCGTAAAAGGAGGTGCAGACGCAAAGGTGAGAACGGCAACGGCAATGGCAACGGTGAGAACGGCAATGGCAATTGCAACGGTGAGAACGGCAATGGCAATGGCAACGGTGAGAACGGCAATGGCAACGGTGAGAACGGCAATGGAGAATGTGACGAAGGGAACAATGATGACAAATATGACGACTCGAACGACAGCGGTAACGGCAATGGCAACGGTAAATAAAACGGTAACGGCAATGGCAACGGCAACGGTTACGACAACGGTAACGGCAATGGCAATGACAACGGTAACGGCAATGGCAACGGCAACGGTAACGGTAACGGTAACGGCAATGGCAATGGCGGCGGGTAACGGCAACGTTAACTGAGGTCGAACAGATGCTCTTCCAGCGCATCTGTCTAAATGTAAAGTATATGAATGTGACATACACTTTAAGGTAACTGTTTTTGTTCGACGAAACTTTTCCATAAACTTGTTGAATTTATATTTCCTACCTTTGAAATGACATGCCGGCAAAGCAGCAATTTATATTTAAATAAGCATGGATGCATTAAACACATGCACAGTTCACGCCACAGGGTATATGGGCAACATTGATTCTCATCATGTCGGTTCGAAAGGCTAAATTGTACTGGTACATGTGATGGTACAAAGTGGTCAAAGCATGTACCATTATGCAATCAGTATCCATTATCCATTATCTCAACTCCTATACCTGTTGGGGATGTTGCTAACATAACGAACCGACCAGTTCTCTATGAAAACGTTTTTGAAACAATGTATTTTTTGTCAACAGTCTGAAGCATAAATCTATTTTTCAAAAATATTCTGGGTTAATTCTCCACTCCCCCTCCCCCATTAAATGGTTCATTAAATCATGTAATCAGCAAATATGCAGCCCTATCACGGTGGCTTGTGAGTAATCGAGTTTGTATAACCGGGGTCGATAGAATGAAGGCTTAACGGTGTACCATGACGAAAATATCAGTTATATATTGTGTTGAGAAATCCAACCATTATACCACCTCACATCCAGTGTGATCCTCAGATCCGTACTGATGATGCACAGACGGATAACGTACTAAACGTATGCTTTTACTTTCAGGTGAAGCAGTTTCCCAGCGAGCGTAATCATGAATTAATGTCCTGCAATCTTGAATAAATACTTTTCCCTATCTTTCAA